AAGGATTTCTTATTGACGGTTACCCTAGAGAGGTCAAGCAGGGAGAGCAGTTTGAAAAGGAGATACAAGAAGCAAAAGCAGTGATATTTTTCGACGTTTCCGATGATATACTGATAGAGCGCTTGCTAAATCGCGCTAAGACTAGGTAACCCACTCAAGTACAACGTAAATTATCATTTTTTATTCCATTACATCCAATTTCAGTGGTCGTGTTGATGACAATATTGAGACTATCAAAAAACGCCTGAACACATTTAAAACTGCAACAAAACCAGTAGTTGACTATTATGAAAAGAAAAAGAAGCTGATGAGGGTCATTTCCAAAGTTCACCTTAGTATTTTACAGGTTCAATGTCTCAGTTTAGATTGCAGCCAAAGGAACAATAGAAGAGATATTTGCCGAAGTTGTGCAGTTTCTGGATGCAGCTATGGCCTAAGCCAACTTCCTATGAAGCATTAGCAAAAACAGCTTCGACTTTTACTGATTTTGATGAAAAAAATTTTTCAAAATGTATTTCTCAGCAGCGTTAATAAAAGGATTCTATCCTATTGGCAATTATTTAAACAATTTTATCCACTACAAAAGTTGCCTACCTATTATCTAGAGTTAAGGAAAAAACGCTTCTTCGAATAAGTATTTGTTATTCTATTCTTTCATCTAAACATCCTACTAATCATTCAAAGGAGATTTTCATTCTATCAAAAAGCACAAAGATCTTTTACACGGCATTTTTGTAGCTCAATTACACATTTTAGTCCCGAAAGTATGTTTTCCTTTGTGCAACGGTTAGAACAGAAATTTTGTGGAACTGGTTCAACTAAGCGGAACGAACTGTGTCTTAACAATAATTATTGGCTTAGGTTTGCACGTTCTTGCATCAGAGTCCCGGTGACATTTATTTAGAAGAAATTCCTCGAAGGGCTTGACACCGGAATTATAAAGTGATACCAAACATATGACAGCAAAGATTTTGCGATAAAAATAGAAATGTAGCCGGACGTAGCGCGCTCTGGACAGGCTCAGACGACTCAATTATCTACGTCAATTGTAAATATCATCGCAAAGATAGCTCCTTCTAGTCATGTTTTAAGCAGTACTTCCAATTATTAATCTTTTAGATAATTGTGTAGGAGAGGTAGCGTTGTCACGCATGCGTTAAGCAGAAGAAATTATAGCAAGCATGCGAATTACAGGCTTGACGTCAAGGTTTCGAAAAAACTTAACTTATATGCTTGATTCGCCCTCAAATAAATTTTTTTTTCATAGAGAAAGTTTTGGCTTATTTGATGACTGAAATATGAGGTTACCCCTGAATACAAAAAGCTTTACTATTTTTGACAGCA